AGTAGCCCTTCACAAACCTGTGATGAAGACTCCATTAAATCCACTGCCTTCATCCCAGGGAGGGGACAGAAGGGATGTCTCTGTGGGAAGGCTGTGTTCTCCAGGTGCGAGCTGCTAGATAAGTGAGACAGAGTTTTGCTGGAGTTAGAACCAGAAATGTCCAAAGCATTTTGTGCAATAGTTAACACACCCCATCTCTCTCTGCCCATGGCAGAGCAATGAAAAAGAGGGGAGAAATTCCTTTATCGCACCTCGTTCTTCCTTGCAGCCCAGCAGGGCTGGCAGGGAACCACAAACACAGGGGTCAGATTCGTGACCCTGCGGGAGGGGCCCGTGTCTTCCCTGGTACGTGCAGAGCTAAGCCTCTGCCGGGTTAAACGGTTCCATTTTCAAGCCTATGGAGAGCAGATAGCTGTGCCTTTCACCTGGCAGCGCAGGGCTCTTGTGGCTCGCCTGCAGCCCGGTAAAAGGGACAGTCGGGACCCCATCTGTGCAATAACAGCAGCTCTGTTCTGATGCCCCGCACCGAGTGAGCAAGCTGTTCTAGAGCTGATTTGGAAGGAACTGCTATTAAAATGGTCACCGCTTAATACGCTCGCTTCTTCATATCTTAAATCGCTTTCTTAACAGAGGCCTGGTGTTTGATACGCACTATGGAAACCTGCTGAAAGTTGATGCCTATGGGAACCTCCTAGTGTGTGCACATGGCTTTAATTTCCTCAGAGGGTGAGTGCTGACTCTTGGCTGTTCTTTTTGACTTAATACGCTCTCTTGTGTCACTGATCCTCGGGGCACCCGTTGTATAAGGAGTCGCGGGGACTTTACTAACAGCAGATGCTGTATCGGTGTTCCTGCAGCTCCGGGGTTGACTGGGCTTGCATCGAGGGTCCCAGGCACAGCAACAGCCCAGGGTGTTGTGGAGGAGCAGTCCGTGCTGGCACAGGCACATCTGTAGTGCACTGGGAAAAGAAGAAAGCGCGCTGTGGGAAGGGGTTGATGGGGTAATCCAGGGGCTGTCCACCTGTCCTGGCACAGTTTAACATCAGCAGCTTGTCTGTTAAGGCAAAGCCATCGTGAGAGGGCTGCTGGGAGCAGAGGACCAGTGCCGTGAGGCTGTTAACTCCACGGCCATTGCTAAGAAGGTTCGAGGGCCTGAGCTGGCTTGGGGAAGGAACAAGCATGCTCTGCCCTGTTGTGTTTCTGACCTTTGGGGTGTCAGAAGTGAGGCATTGCGTGCTATTTCCTCCAGCCTTCCCTGGCTGCTTGCGTTTCTCTTGCCCCAGAGAAGCTGCTTTAGGAAGCGGAGGGGACCACAGTGCTATGTGCCTGATGTGTCCCAGCAGATCCCCCCAGTACCCTGCTGTGAGGGTGGATGGATGGAAGGCAAGTGCAGGCCAGCTGAGGGCCCCCAAGGTGACCAGCCTTGCATCAGGAAGTCAAAATTTAGAATAAGCCCTTACATATGCACTCAAATTCCTCTTTGAGTCAGAGGTGATCTTCAGAAGCTCCAGAAATGAAGGAAAACAGAACAATTAAATGGCTTCAGTCGTCGCCACCCTGCTGATGAGTTGCAGAGGGCCCCAGGGAAGCCTCCCGCAGCACAGCCGTGCCCTCCCCTGCTGAAAGGGGGAGAGCAAAGCAACACATGGAAAGTGGGGGAAAGTTTAAGATAAGCAAACAATGAAAGTGCAGATGATTTAAGGCATCCTCACAGCCAGCAGCATGGGGCTTAAGGTCGCGCTGTGGACTCTCGACCACTCTC